ATATGCTTGTGGTGCGCTTATCCCACTTTAAAGCTTTGCTGCAACAATTCGTAACGGTTCGCTACTCTTAAATGTAATTTTTTTTTCAAACTCTGGCCAAAACTTTCTTTGCACCTCACTGAGTTCTCTATTCTCTTCCTTATATGTCTATTTTACATCGCCTGCCGGTAACAGCGGGAGCTGTCAAATGCGCTGGCAGCTGCTAGGTCCTTCTAATTCTTTTTGTTCTCATCGTTGTCCGCTGCTTTTTATACTTCATGAAGCGTGTTGCCGACCTGCGACTCAAATCTCAATGGCATACACGGGTCCTGTCGAGGATAGAATAGACCCAAACTGGGTTTGAGATCAAAACAAAGTCAAACGAAAAAAGGGAGCTTAAGTTCGGCTCGAAGCTGTAAGCAGTCTGTACTTGCGTCGATTTTATCGTTTGGTCGCATCGCTCGCAGGTACTGCCGTATTCTGTAGGACCGGTCAAGGGCAACTGCGTTAAGCTTGAAAAAAATACATTTGACCGCATGCTCTTCTTGCCGCCAACAAGAGCGTGCCACCACTGAACATTTAATGCTGCACACAGCATAGGATTGAAATGACAGCTTCAAAGTGTAACTTCAATACACAGTTTTGATATAAGTGATTTGATTTCTGTTACTCCCTGTTCCCTTAACAGAATTTAGCGAATCCCAACTAAAAATCGATTTAAGAACTTCTCTATAACGGCAAGAAATATGATGATTACAGATCAGTGAAGTTGCTGCACCCAACAGCGCCAACGGGAGGAGTGGCTAGCTCCATTACTAGGGAACCAACCCGAAATTTTACTGGGAACTTTTTATTCATCAATTGAATTGTCACAACTTATAGACGCGCTTCTTCCGGTCTCCTACCGCCAACGAAAAAAATTATTATATAAATATCACAATGATGTGTAGTGCACAGACGCACCTGCGGCGATACATCTTCAGACTCCGTAGACTCCGGTGTCGACGTCTGAATGAGCTCACTTTTGGGCCGTACCGGTGTCTTGAATGACGGCGCGGACCCACTAATCGTTCCAGATCCGACTGCCGAAGGTGCGAGAGATCCGGATACTGGTTGCTACAGACAAAAAAATCAGATAAAAACTAACGGTTAGCATATACTTGTCTTATCCTTATAAACCGACAAAAAATATTATCTAATATATTATGGAGTTCTGAATTTAGAAGGCTGACATAAGACGTATTTGAGTGCACACAATGTTTCACACATAATCATCACCTATGAAAATTTTACAATCGGCACTTGATTAAATCGTTATCCTGGCGGTGATATCTGTCGCTGAATGAGTATCTTAAATGAGCAAGACCTCTTGAGTCGATATAATGCATAAGAGAAAAACCCGCAAATGAAAAGACGCGCAACACGACAGGCGTACCCTGCCTCTACCCAAGCCCTAGCGTATGTGACGATCAAGACTTGTATGTCTGAGAGAACACCTACTGAATCGACGATTGGCGTCGCAACACTAACCGGCAGATAGCCATACATACATACATACATTATGAACAAGAACACGTAGACGCTAATTGACTGAATACCATAAGACCTGTAAAAAATAAAAGAAATGAAGCTAAATATTTATGTTTCCCTTATAAAAATCCTGGAAGCACAAACCAGTGCCAGCGAATCTCAATTTGACGGTAGTGAGCAGGCAAGACCGAATGTTATTGGAGTACTTCGTAGACAACAACTACAGATATTGAAAGTTATATCTGTAACAGAACAGACGCTGCCGTATCAAAATCCAATTTTTCGCCTAGATGCAACGTATAAAATGGCCAGTGGCCTCCTGCGTTTGTGGCTAGACGTTTCTGCCGTGTTCAAGATCTCTCAGTGTGTCTTTGCTTTTTTGCCCCAGCTCAGATTTTAGCGGTACAAGAGCGTAATTACCGGCTTTGGCTTTACTTATAGATGCCTTTACTTGATCGCATTTATATGGAAAAAATACAATATGATAGTACAGAAGAAAGAAAGAAACAACTACGTCGCTCAAAGCAATTTGCAGGCCCATTTTCACTGCTACCATTACGGCCAATGATGTAATTGCTTCCGAGCAAACAGAAAAACAAGCGGGCGTTTGTTGATGAAGCGTCCGCTTACGGTCATCGACCAGCCGACCAGGTACTAGGGGCATCTACCAAGGTTGCCGTCTGGTGTAGAGATTTGACTTGTTGTGCTGGCATGACTTCGCTGTTTAACTTCCATGTTTTCGCCCCCTGCCCCAGTCATCGCTGTAGCTGATCAATGCCGAGTGCAAATGAAAATAGCACCCTGGATCGCTAAGCACGGTCAGGGTGGCAATTGTAGACCCTTAGGGCGTATTATTTGGATGTTGAGTGTTTTAAGGGAGCTACTATATACATTACTATCACGGAATGAACTTACAGTTTACTGCGAGATGCACTAGTAACTGGCCTAGATACCGACTGCTATAGTAAGCGCAAGTAAGAACAAACACAAACAAAATTAAAGTACACGGTAATAGTATCACGTATTCTTGTCAACCTGTCCTTATTGAGTTTTAGGAACAACACCACCGGGCAGGGTGAACGTATTCGTATGCCTCGAAAACGTTCCTACCATATTCTTTTCGGTATCGAAAAATAAAAATGATTTTATTTGATCGAGCCTTAATTCAGTAGATTAGAGAAGGCCATTGACATAGGTGTTTCGCGTTCATTTTTCTGAAAGAACTATGAATGGGCTAGTAATACGTATACGTTGTCTGCGCACGACATTGTCTATTATGCCTCGACTATCACTTCGTAGTAAAAAACAAAAAAGCAGACACTAGTTCTCGTATGTTGTATGCGGTTTTCGAGGGTCCGCCTAAATGTGCATGATTAATAGACGTTGGGCAACACCGTTCGATGTGCCAAGGCGGCCACGACGACAAGCCTGCAAAAGTTGACGAACACTTGACAAAACAGAACAGCTATGACATACGGTATGTATTATCTATATAAATTGCACCACAAGTATGTCTATCGATTGTAATTTCATCGGTCTAAGGTAGAGTCTGGTCTAACCTCAATAGCAGGCTTACGGAAAGGACGAAACAACTGGTGCTAAATTGTTTGCTAACGGAACGTCACAAAATAGTTACCTGTTTTTTAGAAACTAACCAAATATATTACGTTATTAATAAGCGACTTTGTTGTCTGCATTGCTGGGACGACAGAGCCATGTTTTAGTTAACTTAACAGGACGCTTTAAGTTCATAGCTAGAAGCAGTATACGCGTACGACAAAGTTAACAAGAACAACAACTCTATACAGGCGAATCAGCTTTGATTTCTAGAAACAGAATCTCAGTTAATGAATCAATTAACCGAGTCGTAATCGCTTAAAAACGAAAATTGACGAGATTTAGAAACGAAACGTTAATCACCAGAACTTTACAGTTAAGCGTGCACCAAGTTTAAGATAAACTTATACAAAATTATATCGCTTGCCTTCGAAAACCTCCATGTTTCCTAATAATCATTTATTAAAAACTATTTCAGCTTTGTGTACTTTTATAGTTTTTAAGATTTATTTAAGGGTTTTTAATAAATGATTATTATTACTACTCGAAAGTTCGAAAATTAAGTAAATTAGCGTAAAGGGCTACTTTTTACAATAGAGAAAATTTCGATGACAAAATTGGGATTGTTCTTGAAGGGCAGGTGCCTATCTACATTCAAGTGTCCAAATAAGCTTTGACGAGTAATGGTCACCAGACTTTTCAACTTTGTGTACTTTTAAAGTCTGGCGACCATTACTCGTCAAAGCTTATTTGGACATTTGGATGGAAATAGGCACCTGCCTTTCAAGAACAATCCCAGTTCTGTCATCGAAATTTTCTCTATTGTAAAAAGTAGCTTTTTATGCTAATTTACTTCTTCGAACTTTCGACTCCCTACCAAAGCCGTGTGGAAACTGGCAACAAGAAAGTGTTGGAAGCTCGTCCGGCAAAAAATACTAATCGTACTTCATGCGCCGAACATCTTGTATCTAGCGCATGGCCGAGTTCGAACCAGCGACTTTTGGAAAAGTCGTTTTGCTACAGCTTTCAGCTAACGAAAGCGTAAGCGTTCGTCGCAGTCCTTCTCTACTAGTACCACACCAAAATGGTTGTACTTGATTCACATGAACAAGTCGGGCAAACTGCAACGTTTTGTTCCTCCCAAGTGTATACTTGCTTCTCCACTGACCTGTATCTTTTAACCAATGTCCTCCTATTCAGTCCCTACGGAGCGACTAGATCTATCCAGCAAGACACTGCACCGATATAGCGAGTTCGGGGAATGGCGGAAGTCGGCAGCGGAGCATTGTTACCGGCCCGTAGCGCCGATGTTCTGAATACGATCGGCTCTATTCATACGTGTACATATGTATGTTTTACGAGACGAGCGTGCCACCAGAAACGATGTTCTTTGTCGTATTACCAGGCCCGTGCTTCCTGCTTCGTTGCCCTACGCGCGTACTCGTTTGACGGAATCCATTCGGTTTTCAGTGGAGGCTTTTTGCCAGTGGAGGTGGGAAAATGCTACTTATGTTTCTACTATGCGTAACGACGTACTGGCATACGGCACAAAGACATACGACGCTGGCGCGCCGGAGAAACCAGACTGCAATTGTTATTCAAGTAGCGTCCCCATCATACCTAAGTGGATATAACAGAGTGAAAGCTTCTTTTGGAACGAGACATCGAGATTCGCTATAGCAATTGTTTTCGCTGCTTACCGTGGTGCCGGCTTTTACGTACAGTAAGAAATATGGCCACCGAACCGTTTCTGAAAGATTTACTACTTCCTTACTCTCTTTAGTGTACTGCTCGCCACTAGTTCACGGTGACTCCGCCCTGATTTCGGTTAACACCATTCAGACCCTACTCGAACCTGATTATATCGTAGCAGAGAAAGATCAAAGATCTGGGCTGTTTATTAGAACGCCCGCTACGGGTGCCCTGCTAGAAAGAACCATATTTTTTATTCAGGTGTATGCCAAACCATTACTCTGAACAGAAATATACCGACTGATACACTATAGATTAGATACACCAAAGAACTATTAGTGATTATGTACTCGTCAGGAATTTTATTTACAACCGTTCGTCGAGTTTCATACCCGGAACTAAATTAACATTGCGTCAGATAAGCAAAGGTCATGGTTATCACAATGTTTTGACGGTTGCAACTGCAAAGGCTCCGTCAGTTGTACTAGGACATACAACTGATATCAATATAAAAATTAACATATCAGACTTCGTACAATGTAGAAATAAAACATTGAAATGTTGCTGCACAGCTCACCAGCATACCGTGAACTGTTTTGTGACGCATTACGCGCATCCACCTATATAAGCCTGCAAACCTGTATGGCGATCATGTACAAACTAACACTTACTTTCAGCAACGCGTGTTCCTGTTCCAGTTCCTTCTCAATGCGTGAATACACCTTGCGGTACCTCGGTGAACAGCACGAGAACGACGAGAACGCATGCGATCCCCACTGATCGCCGCTGCCGCTGCCGCCGCCCGAGTCGCCGCCGTCGGTATCCTCCGAATCGTGATGATTGTACCGGTCGAGTCGCGTATCGAAGTACGATGTATCCTCTTCGTTCTCCAGCTGTGGAATGAATTCGGCTTTACGGCGTAGCAGCGAGTCCCAGTCGACGGCTCGGAAGAAGGGGTGTTCGCGCACTTCGGCAGCTCCACCTACCGTGCCAAGCCGTTCGACGGGATTTTGCATTAGTAGCGCCCCGCACAAATCCTTTACATCATCGGGTAATGGCCAATCATCATCGGTAGGCCACTCTAGTTCGTCGTTGACGACGTGTGAGAACAACTCCTCCGGCGTGTCGCCGAAGAACGGAACACAGCCGACGACGAACTCATACAGAATAATGCCCATAGACCACCAATCAACGGGCTTTCCGTAGCCTTGCCGAAGAATCACCTCGGGTGCAATGTACTCGGGCGTTCCAAACACCTGCTTGTCGTTGAACTGCTTCGTCTCTTTGTCTAGTGAGATCGTCAACTGGCCCTCGTACAGATTCGTGGCGAGGTTCATTAGTCCTACCTTCGACAGGCCAAAATCAGTCAGTTTGATGTGGCCGAGGTGCGTGATAAGCAGGTTGTCCGGTTTCATATCACGATGAACGATGCCGTACGAGTGGAGATATTCGACAGCGAGAACTGTTTCGGCAAAATAAAACTGAGCAATGTCCAATGGCAGAGGGCCCATGTTTTTCAGAAGTGTAGCGCAGTCGCCACCCTCTACGTACTCCATAACGAGACATAGATGTTTCTTGGTTTCGAATGAGCAGAACATTGACACGACAAACGGATTATCTGTGAACGACATGATGTCCCGTTCGGCAAACACCTGCTCAACCTGGTTTCGCAATAGAAGGTTGTGCTTATTGATTCGTTTCATAGCGAAGCGCTGCCGGGTAGCTCGATGCCGTACCAGATAGACTGCTCCGTAAGCACCGTTGGATATGAGTTTGATTGTTTCGAAGTCGTCTTCGCAAGGTGGAGCTTTCACCTCTTTTGGAGGCGACGGAGGTAGTGGTTCCTCCTCGATAATGAGCGGTTCACTGAGATCACTCAGCGGGTCTTTGTTTAACCCGAGCTTGGTGATGATATATTGCGGGATGTGCTTTCGAATGCCCTGCAGATCCTTAGCCTGACCTTCAGCTGCCTCGAGCAGCTGGTAGAATTCATGTGGATCAAATTCAAGACATTCGAGTAGACGCGCTGGCCTCGATACGGCCAACAGGAGTCGCCGAACGAGCGGGCGTAGATAGGCCGCCGCTGACGGACTTTTCTCCTGGCAATCCTGCACGAGCTTTTCTAGCGACTCGCTCATCTCATAAAAGTACTCTGAGGTGATGAGCTTACTGCGGCTTTTGTCCAGACAGTCCTTCGCCAGCTCGATAATTTGATGGTGGGCGAAGCGTGCCACAGCATCATTGGCCAGCGCTCCGTTTGGATTGCTGTTCGCCTCGGCACGACTGGGAAGCTCGAGATTCTCGCAGATCAGCTGCGCCAGCTGCTCCTCCATCTGGAGCGTGGCACGGGGATAGCGCTCCTTGTAAACGCTATTTGTCATCATTACCTCGGATTCGTGCGTGTGAGGCGATCGCAGAGGGCTTAATGAGCGCGACCGAGGTCGAAGTGCGCCCGGTGAGTCGTGTTCGATCAGATGCAGTCGCTCCTGTGACGAGCACTGCGAGGACACGTTTGAGCTACCTGGCGTATTTGTGCCATAGCCCGAAGAAGGAAGAGAGGCCACCGACCAGCGTCGGACGTCACTGGCGCGACTGGAGCCGCGAAGCTGGGTGCCTGTTGGACCGCCGCCCGGACCCCCGCAGCCTGTGAACGAAAACGAACACGGGGACATGTTACGCGGTGAGTCGAGCGGCGAAGTGCCCAGGGGCAACGGTGAGTGACATCTCGGTAACGTGGGCGATGTCTGGCTGAGGATGAGGGATTTGCGCGCGCCAGAGACGCGACTGCCGCGACGGCTGGTCACATTCAGCTCCTTCTGCAAATTTCGAAATAGAGGCGGCAAAGGCAGAAAAAAGAAAAGTAGGTCAGAATTAACTTCTGTGCCACTAAACAAGTCTCATCATTATCCTTAGGCTCTCGAAATCGAACTTTAAATATTAGGCAGATTGAGAATTATTTGCTTTACAAATGCTAAATAGTAATATGCCCGAAAAGGAACAAACTACTTTATAATTATGTACGTTTCAGTTTTACATAGACTACAGGCCTTCCACCATAGATATATGGCCCAGCACGGGCATCGTTGAGCCATTGCAGCTGGCAGAGGTCAAAATGAAGATATATACTCCTAAGAGAAAGCGATAGTTGTTTGTGGTTTGAGAAATATTACATATACAAAATACAAACAGAATGTCTGCATATATACGCATATATACCCGGAGACTGTCCGCTTCAAGTTGACCTCCGCCGCACGATCATCAACAAGCGGCGTGACTCACCCATTGCTATCTTGAGCAACTATCATTCGATAGCTATAGTATAGCTATCGAATGATACTGTAATTGCAGTACTAACCCAAATACAAGTTTGCGTCTGTCTCTACGACCCGCTTACAGAGTTACCATAGACACTGTCCACGCGCTAGAGCAACAGTCATACGACTGCTGCTGCTACTCGATAAAAGGCAAGAAACACTACAGTAGATGAATTGTCCTTCGTAGGGCCGGGCAGGCCCTTCCCGTCGCAGCTCGCTTAGTTCTGAACCAACGCGTACCATCATGTTCGTTTGCCGTTCGTGGGAATCTGAAGGGAGGAGTTTTCTACGGTTCTACGTCCTGTAGCAGCGATTTGCTTTATGTATATATATATATGTGCAATTCAGTATAGATATATGAAGACAGTCAACGTGAAACACAATAACAACAGTGAGTCGGAGTGACTAACTATATTTACTACTGTCATGAGTGTCGAACACAATGACGAACCACAAACCGCGGTAGCGAGCGAAACTGATTCAACTGCAGGCCGCTATAACAAAACGATGCAACCGGCAGAAACAGTCACAATCAAATCGTCAAAGGTTGATTACATCTAACTCGGACTGATAATCATAGGGACGAATCGAAAATACATAGATAGCTACAGTCCTAGGATAAAGTACACTTAAGATTCCCTATATATGTATATATGAATGTTTGACTAGAAGTGTGTATGTGTGACTATATAGTTGTACGTGCGGCGTGTAATTGCCACTAAATTCAACGCTTCTTTAATCGTTTAACAAGGTCGCTTCTATTAGGTGCAGCCAGTGTCCAATGTACCTTAGAGCCTGCGACTCGAAATACCAGCCTTAGCGGGTACAAATCCATCATCAGTCGTTGGAAATTGCAGTGGAGGTAAACGTGGAAGGAAGAGTGACCATAAGGCCGAGTATTGCTGAAGCTTGCTTTATGTGAGTTAGATGATCGAGATGTTGTCCTTCTTGCTCTTCCCTTTTTTGCGCTTTCTGTTAGGCTGTGGAGGACAGACGCGTCACCTATCGCGTCCTGCAAATCTACCTATGTAGCTTGACAAGTACCAATATTCTTGTACAAGCAGTAAATATATTCGTATATAATGAGACTGTAGGATTGAATAGTACCAAAATGCAAGTTTTTCGTCAAACGACAACAAATATACCAACGAATGTATCTATGATTTAAATTGAATGAGTTGCTACCGAACGGTCATGAATACAAAGAGATATTTTCTGAGAGCCTATTACGAATCTCGTTCTGTATACGACACAATGGTCATTAGCCGTATTCCTCTTCTAATTTTTTTGCTAGTCGGCTAAATGGGCGCACCCACTGTCTTCGCTTCGTTTCTGCATCCGCAGATAACGCCCCACTCCTGGCTGCTGCTTAATGTGACTTACATATTATTTTCGATATTAATGATTTACCATATAATTTGTTATCGTTTGCCGCTAGCTATTGCAATGTACAGCATCACCCGCTACATGCAATAACCGTCGTGCACGTTCTATGTTATTATTCACCATAATCGTGCCATGCTATAATGTAATTATTGTATATTTTGTCAACGTAATATCTAGCTTGTCGATGTTGTCGTTTCTCAAGTATATAGACTCGAAAAGTTAACAGGTTCCTGTCCAACTACAACAGTAATCGGCCAACTTACTTCTACGCTATGCGGCGTCTAACAGAATTTACTCGAAGTGACTAAATAAATTCTAAGTGACTCTATTTAGTTCGTGGTCTGAAGACATGACTATTACCGAAAAGCTGGCTTTTGGAAAAAATCTCCATCGTGGATTTTGACGTCGTTACGTCTGATCCTCGATCCAGGCTTACGGTCTGTCCAGCAAGCATCTGTACCGCAGTTCCTCGAAAGGTCCCCTAGCTACGATTCTACTCGGTAGCAAGATTGACACTACTGCTTCTGCAAGTGCTGCTGCTTTGACACTGACTTGTACGGCTAAACTTACTACTATTTACCGTTTCTGTTATGGCCACTCAAGCACGAACCATTATTTATCAAGCCTTTAATGCCACCTTACTTATTTTTCTATAACTTCAGATATTTCAAAGAGCACTCGAAACGACAACAAAAATAGCGTCCACTGTTGTTCCGCGTACGTTATTGACAAACAATGTACTGCTATCCTTTTAGCTGACTCCACTGGCGACGAACCCGATCGTGGTCACATAGTTGTCGCACAAATGTATTGGCGCCGGCAATCGCGATGATGACGTTCAAAAAAACCGCCGTCGTTCATTCACACTACGACTGGAATAGCAGATCGCCCGTAGAACAGAGTCTGTGAACACAGCTCCGCCTCGCCGAGTGCGCGTTGCTGTACGAATGAGTTGAAAATAAAAAGAGAAAATTTTTTCCATAAAAACGCGATAAATTATAGGGAACTGTGCAAGCGAACAGGATATCTGAAATCCACGTAGTACGGCGCAGGCTGGCCCACCGCGCGGTTCACGTCTCTGATGTATTCATCTTGTGACATTGGGTAAATTGTGCGGACGATGGACGCCGTTGGTACAACAATACTGCCGACACTCTCGCCACACACCCGTCGTCGTGAGAAATAGTATGATATATTGCATCGAATGCCGCTAGCAGCGGCAGCAGCATCGGTCATGGTGATAGTAGAGGTCTCTTAAGCCGCAACTTCTAAACATCGATATTTCTGCGACGCAGTTTTTAGGCTTGCGTTTTAGGAAAACATTGTGTAATAGCGAAGACTTTTACCGGGCTCTGCTGTTAGTTTGGGGACAAGCTGGGGGAACTTGTGGGCCGGTTATCAAAACCGACTTATCAGCTACTAAGAAACAATCATTGCAGATAGACGGGCACATGGATCATGGAGGATCCGTTACGCGACGACGGTCTCAAATAGAAAGCGGGCCATGTAAACGATAATCAGTTAGAAATTTTCATAAACGGGCTTGTCACATTAGTTTCAAGATATCATCCGAACCATTCGCTCGATACCTTCAACAATAGGACAAGGAATTTTGGTAAGCGATTGTGACGTCCTTCTTTGATCTATTTCTGTTGTCGAATGTCAGCAGCAAACCCTCGCAGCCAGAAATCCCATTGTTCTATCTATATATTGCCGAGAGATAAACAGCAATGAAGGCTATACTGCTGGCAGCTACTATAGTTGACGCTGTTAACGTTCCCTGCGCATCGATTCTTCTACTCCTCTAACAGTAGCTTGGCTATCGCTATCCACTTTCCATATACAGCCAACTCAGCCGAACAATTGCCCGGCCGTATCTTCTACAATAGTAAATTGACATTAAGAGTTTACCCGAAAAACAACCAGTTTCGACGCACTGCTAAAGCTGCTGGAGTCGGTTATTACGGCCCTATCAAGCTCTCAGAGCTGTGCAAAAGTCATCGCCGCTCTCGTTGGCAGCCGCCGTTTTCACATTACGTCTTCCTGATCACTTACGATACCATTATTATTATTATTAGATATCAGAGCAAAAAGGGAAAGACGAAACAACGTGGAGCAAGCGGTGTGAATTGAAAGAAAATAAGAACACGATTGCGTTTTGCCGCTTCAAGCGTCGTCGACTTGTGAGAGGATCACGAAGTGTCATCGAACGCAAGTGCCGCTCGTAACCTCAGCCTAACAAGACAAACAGAGTTCTTATTGTCGTATAGAAAGACAATGGCAAAGAAGGTTAAGAAGCCTGCTGAAGTAGTCGAGATAAGCTGATATCGAATAATCTTGTTTATTTGGCTATGCGGACTAGAGGATACTACTGCCCGCAAATGTCTGTTAGGGAAATGTTTTTATTACTGTTGTATGTCTGTGATACAAAATCGGCTATCAAATATGTAGGCACGCGTAATGAAGCACGAAAAAGAATATATTCTAGCTAATAGGATTTATCAAAAATTCACGTTGCTAGTTGGTCAAAATACTAAATATTGTTTCTCAATGGCCTGTGCTCATTTGATTTAAGCCCTCAATTTATTTCCTCGTTCGGAAGGCCTTACTTTTCACGATGAGAGGAGGCGACAATGGCCTAAAGCAATAACAGACGTCTGTGGAATTTCATATAGGGTAAAAAGCGTGACGATTTGAGCGAGACAGTGGTATATCTTTGTATTTGCAAGCGCGGACGCGTTAGTGGTGTTTAGTCATACATATGAGATCTACTATAAAAACTGATAGGTGCGTCCTAGTATATACAGACATAATGACAATGTCGAACAAAGTCATACAAAGCGATCAAGGGAAGGATTCCGTTACAATTTGCCGGGGGATGCTGCATGCCATTACACAGAAGGTAGGACTTGCTAGATGTTTTTAAGCGAGGAAAACGCCGAATCTATACATACATAAACAGACAAGTCTGGGCAAAACATTTCATTCATAAAGATGACGATCATTATTATTAATTATCTTTATGTCAACTAAATACTTATAATAATAATAATAATGAGATGAATGAGAGATAAAATAGCAAACCTTCCAGAATAACATTGATCTGACCGTTACAA